TGGGCTCAAGCGTGGCAACAATTGTGAGGTTGGCCCAGGACCGGGCAGTGTTTCATTCTGTTGTGCATAGGGTCGCTATGAGTTGGTACTGACTCGATGGCACCTAACAGCAAGAGAACACTTCCTTACTAAATCATTCACTGATGAATCATCATCTCAGATACTGCTTCTAGAAAATCTAGTGTAAGACACCAGGGAATTGTGATGTCTTTGAAACCACAGAAAGAACTATTCTTAAACTATATATTTATATTTTATTCATGTTCCTATATACATGCTTAATATCATAATAAAAAAGTATACATGCTTAATATCATAATAAAAAAGTGGCAAGGAGGGAAGAGTTAAGCACTTTCAAAGCTGCTACATGTTACTAAAGACATTGAGTAATATAATGGTAGACAAGTGTTCATTTTAGCAATAGAGCCATCACTGTTGACACTGGTTATACAAGTTGCCTTAGAGTCTTGGAGTAGGAAGTCAGACAGCAGTAGGTAGAGAACTGAGTGGGAAGTGAACATGTAAAGAGAGTAATGAAAACCACTTCTTTATGAAACATGGCTTGGAAGGGGGTAAAGTCATAAGGTACTACCTTGAAGGTTTTTGTTTTTTTGTTTTTTTTTTTTTTAGATAGGAGGCTCTTGATCACATCTAAATGCTAATGAGTCAGATCCAACAGAAAGGGACAAACTGAAAATCTAAGAAAGAAGAGTAATGACTATACCCAAAAGGCTGGATGGGGATTGCTTTAAGATGTTACAAAAGTGATTCAAGTCAACTAAGAAGTGTGAGATCTCTTTCTACCTTGAGAATTAGAGTTGATAATTCTATTCGCAATACAATTTAATGTCTATGTATCAGAGACCAGAGTACTTGGGTTCATTTGGGTTGGATGGGGTGGGGGGATATCGGAATTCAGAGGTGTTGGACTGAGGCAAACATTTATTTGTTTTTGTTGTTGTTGTTCAAGGGCTAATGGTTCTTACCCGCCAATATCCTGCTTCACAAAGTCCCCAGGTTCTTGTCGTCTTGATTCACTTTGACCAGTTGTTTCTGGGAAAATATTGATCAGGAAGAGAAGCCCAAGACTGCTCATGTAGAAGTTATTCATTTGTGTGAGTATCATTTTCTTGAACACCAACCTGTGAGATTCACAGTTCAGGGAAAGAGGATGGGGAAAGGTATAGAAGACAAACAGATAGAAGAGGAATAGAGAAAAACAAAATAAGATTTTATTCTATTAGAGTCAATTCACTTCTCAAATAGTCAGTTATTCAATGTTTTTTTGATAGCCGTCTTTCTCCAACTCACCACTCTCCTAAATATAGTAGAGCCAATTCATGAGGCTATGTAAAGAGCACTAGTAGTCAGAAGTTGTGGGTTCCAATTCAGTTCTTTGACTGTCTCAGTACTTCTTTCAGCCTTAGCTGCCTCTTATCATACATAATTCAAAGGCTTAAAAGCATTTTTTGGGTCTAAATGTCATTTGTCCCCAGCTCTCTGTTTGATCTTAGTATCACAAAGGTCTTTGCTATAGATAAATGTAATATATAGAAAACACCTAGAGTATCTTGGGTATTGACAGAATTTTGGGGATTGGTTTTCATCTTAATAGATTTCAGCAATGTTCCAAAAGATGAAACAGCCTGGAATAGATAGACTGTTTCCTCTGCATCATGAAAAGACACTATGGCTATAGTACTGTTTCCCCATACAGAGATATATGAGAGAAAATCTAGCTCCTTTAGATAGGAACTGAAGCATAAAGAAGAAATGTAAGCCTATCCACTTGCCACAGGAACCCCTAAGAAGTAAGCAAATTATATTAATGATAGAATTATGATAGGTCTGTATACAAGACTGTTTTGTAAACTCTAGTCTAGCGGAGGTCTACCCAGGACATGGGGTTAAGAAAACAACTAAGAAAATGGTTCTTGCCTGCAAATGCTAAACCTTTGGATTCTCTGACTATGAGATGCTGACCACCTGAAGGAAACCTAACTTTGACACAATACCATGCTCTTTTTCAGTTATTTCAGTGTTTTAACTTGCAAAAGGGAATGCAGGGATATGCAACTTTTCTCTAAAAAAAGCTAATTCAAGAGACCAATATATAAAATAGTCACTTAATAAATGAATGAATGTCACTGTGGCAGGGTCACACTCATCAGTGAAGTAAGATGGTATAATCAATAGGATATATAGGATGGGCTTTGGAACCCACCAAACCAAGAGGTTAATCAACTAACAAATATTAGTCATATTAGGCATTAAATGTCTCTTTCTGCAATTGGAATAATCATACTCATCCTATACGGATCATAAAAATAAAAATAAAAAATTTTAAAGAGAACCAGAAAAATGACCAAGGATTATTTACCCAGATGACTCTGCTGATAGATGTTGTTCAAATAAAATTTTGGTTTGAATCACAGGGTCGGTGGTTCAAACTCACCAGCCGCTACTTGGAAACCCTGTACAGGGTCATTATGAGTTGGAACTGACTCAACTGCACTTAACAACAACAACAACTATGTACAAGGCACTGATAGAGAAGATTTGTCTATTGGAATTCCTAAAATCTCATCTACCCCAGTGCCTAGAAAACATCAAATACTGACATTCTACCTACCAATTCTCCTGCTTGGACACTATGAGGCACTCTGTGCCAGAACTTTTCCTGAACAAAAACATTCAGGTCTGCCACTTTTTTACCTCAGTTTGTCTACAGAGTTTTATTTGATGTCAGGAAATTCCACCCAGCTTCAAAGCACTGTCAGTTTTAAAGGTTTGGGAGTCAGAAATCCCTTAGTTCTCGAATCCTTGATATACCTCTTTAAAAAAAATCTGACATTGACTAAGTTATTTGACCTAAGACTCCAGTCTCATCTATAAAATGGTGATATTAATAGCACTGACTTATAGGGGTGTTTAAGATCCCTGGTGGTACTGTAGAATAAGTACTGGACTATAAACCTAAAGGTCAGCAGTTCAAACCCACCAGTCACAAAGTGGCAGAAAGATTAAGCTTTCTGCTATCATAAAGATTTATAGCCTTGGAAACCCTATCAACTCAATGGCAGTGGGTTTTGGTTTTGGATCTGAGTGTTTAAAGGAGCCCTGCTGGTTCATTAGTTAAGCACTCAGATGCTAATAGAAAGGTGTTGTTGTTAACTGCTGTACAGTTGGTTCTTACTCATAGAAACCCTGTATGGGGCTTATGAGAAACAACTGGCGAGTTTGAGCCAAGGACATTACAGTCCAAACCAACCTTGTGGTCCAGTGCTTATCCCACAGTGCAACACCAGATAGAAAGGTAGGTAGTTTGAACACCAGCTACTCTGTTAGAGAAAGACATGGAAATCCACTTCCGTTAAGATCGTTGTTGTGGTTGTCAGGTGTTCTAAATCATAGTGACCCTATGTGCAACAGAAGGAAACACTGTTAAGTCCTAAGCCATCCATCCTCACAATTGAAGCTAAATTTGAGCCATTTTTATACCCATGGTGTCAGTCCATCTTATAGAGGGTCTTCTTTTTTGCTAACCCTCTACTCTACTTACTTATCCCCATTAGAGTCTTGTGGGTTAATCCTCTCAACTGCAAAGTTGGTATGAACCTCAAGGTCAGCGGTTCAAGCTCACCAGCAGCTCTTTGGAAACCCTACACAGGGTTGTTATGGGTCGGAAACAATTCAACGACACGTAACAACAACAAACCTTGTCATTACAAGTTCATGATCTCATATCACCCCCTAACTACATTTTTCTAACCCTTTCCATGAAGTACTTTCCTATTGTCAATTTTTTCACATCCCAACCCCACCTCCTGGGAACTCTAATCCATTGATGTAGATACAATGACCTTTAAGTCATCCACCATCACCTTCATGTTCTCACTACCTTCCTTATACTGCTTGGATTACATACATAGTCAGTAATTAAAATGATTCCAATCATTCTTTGACATGAACCCTCAACACACTTACCTCCCTCTTGCTCTGGAAAAACCTAAACCCTGATTAAATCTAATTTTTTCCTGCAGATGAACAACTGAATGTAGCTGGGGGGAAAAAGGTCTAATTGTGACTGACTGGTCACTCTTCAAATTTTCTTCAACAAACTTCAATTGTCCTATGATAATTTTATATTTGAAAAATAAATTCATTGTCACTATCCCACTCTCTGAAACAACAATTTATTACTTTTTTTTCTCTCCTTAAACCTTCAATAACTCTTCTCCCAGACTCTCAGCAGATATTTTTGCTTCTTTTTTTTAAAAAAATAAATAAATCAGGAGAAAATGCCTTTAACTTTTTACCAAAAATTACACCAACCTATTTGCATCCCATTGTTATACTCTGTCTTTCCCCTGGTTACCAGTAGTTTCTGTACTACAATCAAATGCTACCCCTTCCACATGTGCCCTAGGTCTCATCTCTTGCCTCTTGCTCAAGCATTTTACTTCAGTGATTGTCTTATCTCTCCCACACTTCTTAGATATCCGCTCTCTATGGGTTCATTGTCTGCAGCATAATAAACGATATATTTTCTATCATAAAAAAAAACAAAACAAAAACTTTGGCCTGACATCCTCATCTCTTTCCCAATTTCTCTGCTTTTCTTTATGGTAACTTATTTAATTAATGTTCCTCCACCATCTCAACTTCCTTTCCTCACATTCTCTCATACCACCCACACCAACTGGTCATTTCCTCCTAACCACTCTACTGAAACCACTATTATCACCCATTCAATTAAAAAATTTTAGAGGTGGGGCTTCACAGCAGCTACGGTAGAGGTGCAGTGAGGTTCACCATCAGCATTACTACAGAATACCAGGAAAAGCAGATTCAGGGCAGAGCTCCAAAACTCGGAACCACATAGGTAGAAACATTTTAAAAGTTTGAAGGCTTATAGCTAGTGGAACTTGAAGCTGAAGTAATAAATCATGTACTTTTGAATCTGCCAGGATCGGTGGCCCGGAGCCGACAACATGGGCGACACCAAACGGCAAGACTAAGTGGGAGCAGGCACACCATGGAAAAACGCTGCAGGAACCTGGGAGCAAAAGTGGACAATACACTTGATCTGATTTGCTTTGTTCTGATTTTATTTTTTTTTTTGTATCTGTTCATTGGCCCCCCACTGTTTGAACACCTCAATTCTGGTGACTAGAGGAGGTGTCTGAGCGAGCGGACACACCCCACTCACACCACTGGTGGGTTCTTCTGCTACACATGGGCACAGATACTCTCAGCCCAAGAGCCAGCCCTGAACTGTTTTGTTTTATTTTTTTTTTTAATTTAAGGTTTTTATTGGCCCCCCACTGTTTGAACACCTCAATTCTGGT